TACATTTTTGTAACGATAATTAGGGATACTATTCAAAAAGAAAAAAAGGAATAAGTAATTAAGAAAAAATAGACAAAATGTTAAGAAAAAAAATTTAACATTTATTTTTGTGTCATACCACAAACAGTTACACAAATACAGACAGCACAAAAAATGCTATATTAGTTACAGAGATTCTTACCAAAATAATAAAGAAAACTTGATGTGTTCTACTGATTTACAAACTCAGGAGATGCTACAAAAACTTACAAATGTTACTCAGGTATAAACTGTGGCAAATATAAAAATTATTACAAATAAAAAATGATCTTTTTAAACAATGAAAGCAATTATTATTTTTTTTAAATGTCCATCTTGACTTTAAATTTTAGACACAGAAAAGTTACCTGAACCTCACTAAACTTCACTCTGCATGTCTGTGGTCAGGAACTGGAATCATGCTCGAACTATACTGGGGGCAGATCCGGGATGACGATCAGGGATAAGAAGATGAGGGCGGAAGCCAGCACCGGCTGGAACACAACCTTGAAAACTCGTCTCCTTCAAAGACTGGAACAGGCACAGCACAATGGCAACATGAGGACATCTTCAAAAACTAATGTAAAACTGCTCAATACCAAGTATCCAACTGCTACTGTCACTTCATGCTACATTTCCATGACAAGAAAAGGAAAACGAAAAGATTTCAATTTGAAAATAAATTCGGACTCCAACAAAACTGAACACGCCTTGATCAGCGGCCGGCTTTACCGAGAGTAACGAAATTATCCTCAGAAATTGATCGCATAACTTAAAATAACAAAACACAACGGAAATTAAGACGTAGATTATTAATTTAAAAACGCAGTACTTAGGGCGGCATAAATCAAAGAATATCGAGCAAAATACGCAGCTGCGAAGTAAATAAACAACTCTAAAATGGTTTTTATTACTTGGCAACGCTAAAATGAATTGAAAGAATTCGGTGTTTTAATACGTACAAATCGGAAACTGAAATGCATTAAAGATACTCTTCGATTTTTCAAACATATATGAGGGGATTTCAATATATTACATATACGAGGAGATTTCAATATATTTTAAAGAATCAATGAATTGCAAATGCTACAATTTTGATTTTTGTCGGTAGAACACTCTGATCAAAAGATATCGAATTTTTACCGTCAGTTATTACAACTGAGATTCAAAATCGCCGATCGCTTCGAGCGTTATTTCTGAGAGAACGGTTTATTCTACACAAATAGTGCTAATAAACATTTTTGTTCAAAATTATCTCAGCATTGAAATATTTTTGTCTATTTCGTACAGATTTTTAGTAAATAGATTCTTTCCGTTTATAGGTGGACGGTTTGCGTAGGAGTAGTAAACTCATTTGCATCTTTTATGGGATCCTAAAATTGACATTCTTAGCAAAAGTCAGCTTGTTCGTTTGATTTTTAGAACTTCAGAGGAAATCTTATCACTGACGACTGGAGTATTTCTAAATTTTAAACAACAGATTTTTAAGAATAAAATTATTAAAAAAAATACAGTATAGGGTATACTGGAGGGCACTTTTATCGTAAAGGGTTGGTTGTTGTATGTATTTATCTTTCATTTAAATAGCAAATAGTATCGTTGGATGTTATGAACTGTCAGATAATGTTTATGTTGCTTAATCTAAAACTTATTAATGATTTAAAATATCTTGAGAGATGTGCTTAACTGGTGAGGGGCTTTAATACCTTTTGAACTTTTGCTTAAATTTTTAAATTTTTATGTTAATGGTATTTTTATTTAGAAAATACTATGCTCGAAGTAGGACAATCTGCTTCAAATAAAGCCACAAACGTAAAATCGTGAGAGAGCAACAATTTATAGGTTTTGAGTTAAAATTTTCCTGATTATTTTACGAACAAAGTCCCTACAGAGTTATTGTTTCATCCGGTTTTTAAATTTAAACCATTTTTTTCTATTAACAATTCAGTTTACAAACACGATTTCGCAGTTACTATACGAGCGAATGATGTGTTGATTTTATGTATTTTTTTTTTTAATATAATATATACGGAATATACAATTACTTGTATGCAAGTAGGGAATAACAACAAATGTATCCGTTTGATTTAAATTTATTTTTTTTTGTTTTCACATATTAGATCCAAGATTTTTGTTCATGACACATTATTTGGTACTGAGAGAAAGGTATAAGTTTTAATTATAGATTTAATACGGTTACAAATACAAAAATCGAACAAAAATCCCATCCTCTTGCAATGTTAGTTTACACCATCAAATAGTTTCCTATTTGATGGTTTTTGAACGTGCCTTTACTTGATGTTCTTGACAATCCCCTAAATTGAAGTTGCTCGTGTCCGATGAATATTCTAATCAAAAATTCAAAAATCATTTGGAAGTACTGTATAACTTGTCAGCTCGATGCACCACAAAATACTACATGTACTTTGGCTTGGCTTAGAAAATCAAGCTTTAGTCTGTAAATTTGGCTTTCGTCAAAGACCGAACGCCATTAACAGATACGCATAAAGAATGTTCTCTTTACATATCAGCGTGTATAGTAAATAGGGCGATATGGGCGATTTTAATGCCAAGATTGGAGCTGGAGATAAAACACAGTATATTAGAGCACTTGGACTTGGAGTCAGAAACGAGAGAGGAGATCTCGTAGAAAAATTTGCAGAGGACTAAGAACTAGTTGTCACCAACACATTCTTCTAATTACCACCTCGCAAGCTGTACACGTGGAAATCCTCTCAAGACAGACCCGGGAGAATTATAAGGTATCAAATATACTACATTTTAGTACATAAAAGATTCTGAAATAGACTTCTGAATCTTACATCTGTCAAGACTTATCCTGGAGCACACTTGAAGACAAACCACGTTCCACTGGTAAGAGTATTTCGAGTCAAACTCAACGATCAAAGGTATTACAGAAATAGTGCAAAATGTAAAGGATAAACTCTTAAAGACAGATAGATTAATGAAAAAAAAAATCATGGATGACACATCAGATCCTGAAACTAATGAACAAGAGAATAGAAGTCAAAAATGACCCAGACAAATAAAAAATCATAAATATATTAATAAGAACGAAAATCAGAGAAGCGAAAGAAAAAGAAGCAAGGGAAAGATGCGAAGAAATTAAGACTCTGCAGTCAAAGTACGATAGTCCAAATGTACATAAGAAAGTTAAAGAACTCACAAGGAGACTAAGACGAAGGAAAAATATAACTGGTTCTGTTGGAAACATGATCTTGGAAAAACAGAGTGAGATAAGAACGTGGAAAGAATATCTAGAAAAATATTTAAAAACCAAAGAGATAACACCTTTGAGCTAGAAGAAAGTAAATGATGGACCAAGAATATTACAGCGTGAAGTTTATTCCGCAATAGCACAGTTAAAGGATGGCAAAGCGGCAGGCCCTGATAATATACAAGCAGAACTACTCAAACTAATGGGCAACAAATCAATAGCAATAATTGCAAAGATATTCAACAATATATACAACTATGGAGAAATACATCAACTATGCAGATGACAAAAGAATATCCCAACTATGGTGTCGAGGTCCCCAACTACCTCGACACTATAATAAATGAAGAATGGACCAAAAACCAGGAGATTAGAATACGCATCAGAAAAGCCAAATCCACCGTCAATCGGATGGAGGCCTTCTTAAGAGTCACCCACAATCTCTCTCTTGATACAAAAGTAAGAATGCTACGTCTTCTCTGTCCTTTTTTATAGTGTTGAATCGTGGACCTTGAACGAAGATATGTACAGAAAACTGGAAGATTTTGAGATGTGGCTGTATCAGAGAATACTCAAGATCCCGTGGACTGACCGACTCACAAATGAGGAGGTCCTCAGAAGAATGAACCAGAACCGAGAGGTACGACACCAAATCTCGAAAGTTACAATTTTTCAGACATATAATGCGAAATGAATCCAGATATGGTCTCCTTCAAGCTATCCTGCAAATAAAAGTATTTGGAAAACGAGGTTCAGGAAGAAGTAGACCATCTTGGTTAAAGAACCATAGAATCTGGTTTAATACAACATCTGTGCAGCTTTTCAGCGTTGATGCAGATAAGATAAAGATTGCCATGATAATTGCCATCATTCGTAATAGATAGGCACATCAAAAAGAAGAAGATTCGCGAATAGGGACGACAGACTTATCACAGAAATGGAAGAGCAAATTCTCCGTCCGGCAAACATAAACAGATATATCTAAAGAATGACAACTTGACAGTATGTGGCTTATATTGGAAGGATAAGAACAAGACAGAAGAAGTCAGGCCAGACGAAAAATTTCGTGGCTCTATAAACTTAGAAACTGGTTTTCACTATTAACTACTGGTCTAATTTAGAGAAGCAGCAAATAAAATGAAAATAGCCATTTGAGACGCCAATTTTCGTAGAGATCAGGCATCTTCAAAGGAAGAGTCTCTCTCTCAGCACCAAATAAAATTTATTATATTATAGTTTTTATTTTTGGAATATTCCAACCAAAAATCAAGCAATTATATCCGTTTTGGTTAATCAATATGTCCCGGTTTCTTTGTCCAGTATTCTTTTGATCTTTTCTTCAGTATCCAAAACTCCAAACAATGTTTCTGTGAAATTATTTCATTTGTAAATACCTACAATTCTTTTAAATTTTTCACTTTTCGTTATTGTGTTATTCTATTTGTCAGCTAGATCTTTCATCGACATTTTCTAGATGCCTTACTTAATGTCTAATGTATAATGAAATATATACCCTAAATATCAGTAATTTTTATATCCAGTACAAATATAACACTCAACACGTAGTAGGTCTTATTATATTTATATAGTACTATTATAACAATTTGTTCCTGGTGTTTGTGGTGCTAAAAGAATCGATCTAGTCCTGCAAATAATCAGTAACGATACAATAACTGCTGCTAACTACTATTATCGTATAGTACTTAAATTTTGCCTTATTTAAACTTATCCCGTATATACACAGAGTGCAAGGATTCAGAATTCGATTGTGGAGAAGGCCATTGTATCAGTCTCACGTACCGCTGTGACACATTCGATGACTGTTTGGATGGACGAGATGAACGAGACTGCGGTAAGTTTTCTATCAAAGAAACTTATAGACTACTGCTTGCCTATATATTTGTAGATCGAAGACATGTTGTGTCTGGCGTATCTGATAAATAAGTCTATAAGTTTTGTTAAATATGTATATTTTAGAAATGCTTCACTGAATGAGCTTCATTTTATTTGCTTTCATTTTTATGCACTTGGATATATTATATAATTATGATATTTCTTATACTATTATGTACCTACATAACTCAATACTATTAATTAATTTGGGCTTATGAGACGTCTTTGATATATCTTCTAATTTATAAGATGGAACTGGTAAATAGGACTTAAAATACAAAATCGGACAATATTCTAGATACTACCATGCGATCGGACGCATTACAAAACCCTAATGAACCAAAATCGTTCAAGCTGTTTCCTAGATAATTTCACACTTAAAAATCCCTCGGTATAAACCAAAACTTTTTTGTTTCTCTATTATATCCGCCCAGACGGATTTTAGGATTGGCTGTAGTGATTCGGACCTTAGGTTCTTGTATATTGTCTCTGGAAGACCATTAATAAGTTGCTTATAATTTAAATTTGAACATATTCCAGCAGAAAAATTGGAGCAGTCGTTTCCTCGATTTGTATATCAAAGAGTTTTCTTATCAGAAATTTTTCGAACTTTTTGAAAATTTTTATGCAATGAAAATATGTCATACCAAATTCTTAGTAATACTTTAAAACTCAGATTCATAAGCATAAATGTACTATTGTCGTATGCTCACTATTTGCACCTTTTCATAGAAAATTTCTTCATTTTTTTCATAGATATGATAGTTTCTGGCATATTCAAGATACAATGTTGAGAAGTAGGAGTCTGAAGCATCGATTTTTAAATTTTTCAGCTGGAGAATGTTGTAATGATAGTTCTAAGCGACTTCTCAGATACCTCTGTACAAAAATCTAAGGTGCGACTTAATACAACTAACTTCAGCTTTTTTGTGCAGAGCCCCTTGACTAAAGTCTTTAAAATTTCGAAGCTGTTTGGTCTGGCACAACTCGGTTATTTCCAGAGCATCAATTAATCTAAACAAAAATTAATAATAATAATAAACCCAGTCTAGAGAAACTTACAGAACCGAACTGTTATAGAAAACTGCTCAAGCATAGTTCTAAGAAAATAGTAAAAATAGACTATGCCATTACACATATTAAAAATGAAATCTATCTATCTATGGTATGATCTAGATATCACTATTTCACAAGATGGAACATTAGACAAAGTCATAAAAGAGAGAAATACGTCAGAAAGAAAAGCCATCACAATGTTAAACAGCATTTTATATCCATCAGCAAAGAAAATAAAAAGAGGATATATGAGACTATAGTAAAAAGTATCACTTTTCACAGCTGTGAGGTATGGCAACTGAAAAAAAGAACACTCGCAACGCTGAAAGCAACGGAAATGGATTTTTGGAGAAGAGCCGCAGGAAGATCTAGAAGAGAAAGGATTACCAACGAACGCATTAAAGAAATAATGGGAATCAAACGAACAATCGCAGATGACCTAACAACAAGACAATATAAGTTAAATCAACAAATCAGTCTAGAAAACATTTAGCACTGAATTAGAGTAAATAGAGTCATACGACACAACTATACTTGTATGCACATGCCAACGTGTATGGATAAGACTACCAAACAGAATTGAAATATAATACTTCCATTAACCATGGGAGCTTATCGTGTATACTTCGCCTAGCTAAGTCTCTCAATCCGTCTTATCTTAAACTAGGAATTAAACCAAGAACCCTTAGCTGATAGCAAATAAAACAATTACTTAAATAATCATATTTATTAAAAATAAGAAATAATCAATCCTGCCTATGCTTTACAATAAATAAATTTGGCGATACTTATGACATCGATTGGTGATTATGTGGCCTCCCAATTAGATGGTTAGGCCCTCCTGACAGCTGCAGTTAGGTCCCCCAGAGCATGTTATTCCATACAATATTTAGAAATTTCCCATAAAATTTACAATAAAATCTTCTATACATAGAAGATGTATAAATAATAAGTTCTAAAATAATACCAATAAAGTGGTAATACAGCCAATAAATTCACAAATACAGCCAATAAATCATATAGGGCCTTACGGCCTTCAAGATTAAAATTAACAAGAACTTATTACACACGAGCAAGTACATACATTAGGACTTAGAACAAATGAAGATATTATATAAAGAAAGACAGACGTAGGATAAAACATAGCGAAAATGGTACCAAAAATAGAATAGAGACCCAAGGCGCCAAAGAATAAAAAGAAAGCAAGGACGATTTGCGTACCAAATGGACAGATAATCTAAAGAGAATAATTAAATCTACTTACTGGGTTAGTAGTGGGTTTCTCGTTGCCAAATAACCTGTTGTGTCAGATAAAAACTAGTTATTTTTGTATCTAAAAGTGAACAGTCATTCATTTTTTTTTCTTCCTCTGTGTTACTGGTTTCGGCATTTCATTTTCTGTTACTTTTACCTCATTTTGATCATCTTGTTTGTTATTAACAATTTAAGTTAGACCGCAAGTAGGGTTCAGTTTTTCTACTGCTTTAGGACTCAACAATTAAATAGGTTAATGTTTGGGTACTCATATAATCTAGTACCATTATTCCTAAACAAAAATGGACACTCCACTAACATTATTTATAAAACTATTCATGAGCATTGATCGCGTCTGGTGTACTAATAATTATTATATATGTACATGTCAACCTTTGGGTATCATTCCAAACACAGTAACACTAAATAAGTATAACTCGCTAGTTAAATTAAGAACTAATATTTGTGTTGTTTTATGGAAAATATACGGATGTGAACAAAAATCTACTAAAAGTGCATTTCACTATTTTCTCAGGACCCTGCTCCGAAAATGAGTTCCAATGCGCTTACGATCAATCCTGCATCGCCGCATCTAAGCAATGCGATGGAGTCTCAGATTGCGGCGATAATTCCGACGAAGCAGATTGTGAACGTACTCCAAGTCCTGTAAGATGCAACTCGCAGCAGTGGCGATGCGACGATGGTACCTGCATCGATGCCCACCGTCAATGTGATGGCGTTAATGACTGTCCAGATAACTCTGATGAGATTTCAGATTTGTGTCGTAAGTGAATTATTGATAATTTTTATTTGAAGGAATTTTTACTAAATGAAAACTTTTGCAAGATTTTACGTATATGTTTATGCTTTTATATATGCTACCAAATAGATTATATGGAATTTAAATAATGATCTTATAAAATAGATTAATATTTCAAACAGATATTTATATTATTATTATATTTAATACGAAACTTCAGTTTTCATGTTCAGCACTTCGAATTTTGCTATGTCGTGCTTTCTACTCACTTTATGTAATCTTTATCACAATTTCAGAGATATCAATCTCATGAGACTCCAGTGCAATTTATTAGTAGGTACACTTTTTACTGGTCACTGCATTACTGCTGTTTATATTTGGAGACGGTATATTTATATCCTGAATAGTGACGTGATTCGCTGACGTGATGTGAACCGCTGAATAGTGACCGCGATAATTATTTACGCCGCCTGTTGAATTAATGCATGAAGTGGACAGATTCTTGTGGTTAAGGAGAACAAAAACAATTGTTGCCACCTTTTTTATTGAGACAATTGAAGTGCTTTTAGATCTCAATCGCTTCGCCAATAATTCTATGTTATATAGTAATAATTATCTGACAATTTTTGCTTCAAAAGTCCTTATTATATTTTACGATCCTATCCAAATTATATTTTCGATACTTTTGGTTTTCTTTTCTTTTTAATTTGCACCACCATGTACGATTTAATATTTGTAAAAAGAAAAAATAATGACAAAGCACACGCATCAGATTAAAACTGTTCACATTCTATTTTAATTAACAAACTAATATCAGACGAGATTTTAGCGTTATTAGTATTTTGTTTTAAATCTGTGATACTGCTTATAATATGGAGTTAATCCCTTCCGGCAAAATTCGATCAAAATGGCTGGAATATCGTAACATAATGTATTACACCTATACAATGGATATCATTTATATATATATATATATATATATATATATATATATATATATATATATATATATATATATATATATAAGGATCACTCAGACGAGTGGTGGGTTCTTATATCGGTCTCTAGGTGGAGAAATAAAAGACAAAGTTGATAGGCTACTTTATCTATTTTGAAGACGTTTCGCTTTCGAGTTTTGAAAGCATCATCAGTTCATCTAAAAAATTATTACAATATGAGAACCACACAATCATGGAAACGATGTTAATTGTTACCTTAAAAAGATATGTAGCAGTCAATGTTATTAACAAATATGTGAATGAAACTAAGTAAATGGACATAGTACGCTGATCTTGTATAAACAGTTAAGCAACTAACAACATATATGAACTTGTAAAAAATTAGCACAGCAATTGACCATGTGGTCCAAAATAATTTCAATGTTATTTAATGTTAATAAGTGAGAAAGAACCAAGAAAATCATAAATAACTTCCAACTGTTTAATGGATATTAAGCTTTGATTTTAACTTTAGGTAGCATTATAAGTAATATTAATAAAATTCTAAAAAATAGTGAATATGAAGTTACCGATCAAAGCCCTATGGATATCGCCGTGAAAATGGCGTTAAATGAAACAGGAACGAACTAAACCGCAAAAAGACAGCCAACCTTGAGGTCAAAATTACTTTTGACAGATCAACAAGGTGTAAATACCAACCCAAATTTTGGGCGGTTAATTTAATTTAAACTGAGTTTGGATGACTACCAGGTTGCAAAGGACACAACAGTGAAAAAAGTTGGTAGTGTAAACACAACTCCCCCCACTAACCGGCCCAAATTTACAAACTGGAGATTTTCATTCAACCTCATAATTATGTAATGACGTTAATCATTAAGGCAAGTTAAATAGCCAGGTGGTTAACGATATTATAATTTCCAAACAGCCCAAGGTTCAATATACTTGGAGCTGTGATTTGTAAAGGATTCTATGAATCAATTACAAACATTGTAATTGATTCATAGAATCCTTTACAAATCACAGCTCCAAGTATATTGAACCTTGGGCTGTTTGGAAATTATAATATCGTTAACCACCTGGCTATTTAACTTGCCTTAATGATTAACGTCATTACATAATTATGAGGTTGAATGAAAATCTCCAGTTTGTAAATTTGGGCCGGTTAGTGGGGGAGTTGTGTTTACACTACCAACTTTTTTCACTGTTGTGTCCTTTGCAACCTGGTAGTCATCCAAACTCAGTTTAAATTAAATTAACCGCCCAAAATTTGGGTTGGTATTTACACCTTGTTGATCTGTCAAAAGTAATTTTGACCTCAAGGTTGGCTGTCTTTTTGCGGTTTAGTTCGTTCCTGTTTCATTTAACGCCATTTTCACGGCGACATCCATAGGGCTTTGATCGGTAACTTCATATTCACTATTTTTTAGAATTTTATTAATATTACTTATAATGCTACCTAAAGTTAAAATCAAAGCTTAATATCCATTAAACAGTTGGAAGTTATTTATGATTTTCTTGGTTCTTTCTCACTTATTAACATTAAATAACATTGAAATTATTTTGGACCACATGGTCAATTGCTGTGCTAATTTTTTACAAGTTCATATATGTTGTTAGTTGCTTAACTGTTTATACAAGATCAGCGTACTATGTCCATTTACTTAGTTTCATTCACATATTTGTTAATAACATTGACTGCTACATATCTTTTTAAGGTAACAATTAACATCGTTTCCATGATTGTGTGGTTCTCATATTGTAATAATTTTTTAGATGAACTGATGATGCTTTCAAAACTCGAAAGCGAAACGTCTTCAAAATAGATAAAGTAGCCTATCAACTTTGTCTTTTATTTCTCCACCTAGAGACCGATATAAGAACCCACCACTCGTCTGAGTGATCCTTATATATATATTGGATTGACGGTCGTACTCCTTTTTCCGATATATATATATATATATATATATATATATAATATATATATATATATATATATATATATATATATATATATATAAAGTAGTGATAAAACAATGGAAAGGGAGAAACAATGGAATCACTTTCACACTGTAATTCTTGAAGATCTCTAATCCTTCTAAAAGAAAATTCTCTTTTAAAAGGATTAGTGAAGCTCTTTAAATTAAAAGAGAAAGCAAACAAGTGATCTCTCATATTGATTGAAAGGAGTAAAACAATGTAAAATGTGATTTACATGAGCAATAATACAATATCGGTGGTAATTACAGCTACCAGTGTTACGAAGAATTGGTCAAAAAATCAAAAATTCACATAGTGTATTCCTATTGGGAGGATTACAATCACTTACTTAATTCACGTAAAAAAGATTTAAACAAGTATAGTTGAATTATTGAAATACATTGAAAATATTGAAAATCAAACGCAAGATGTAACAATTATAATGGGAGAGTTTAACCCCCAAAGATTGGGGAAAAAACAGTAGAAATATGTACACGAGGATATGATCTGGGCAACAGAAACGAAAGAGTTGACAGGCTTATCGAATTTTGACAAAACAATAATTTTGTTATAGCTAATACATTGTTCAAAATGCCAAAGAGAAGACTATATACCTGGAAGTCACCAGCAGATCAAGAAGGGAGAATTATAAGAAAACAATTATATTATATCCGCAAAAACCTATCCAAATGCCGACATAGGATCAGATCACAACCAAGTAGTGGCCAATATTAGGCTCAAAATGAAAATAATGAAACGAAGAACAACAAATGCAAAAACCGATGTAAGTAAATAAGGACTGGCAGATGAAATCAACAACAGATTAATGAATGTTAAAGAAAAATTCTGCAAAATACTGAGACGAACAAAAAATGGTTATTAATAAAGACAGAAATAGATAAAAGTCAAAAAAAATTCTAGTACCAACCAGATATAAAAAGAAACAATGGATGATGGAAGAAATTTCAGATTTAATGGAAGAAAGATGTCAATATAAAAACAAAGATAATCAGATGTACAAAAAAGTGGATAAACAAATAAAATACAGAATTAAGATGGCGAAAGATTAATGGTTAAAAGAACAATGCGCAGAAACAGAAGAATACCAGAAAAGACATGATAGTTTTGACACTGATAAAAAAATTAAAAAACTAACAACGTTAGAACAAGAAAACCGGGAATACTGAAAGATGCAAATGGAAATCTTGTGTTGAATACCTAACGACAAATTAAAGACATGGACAGAATACATCAATGAACTGTTCAAAGACAATAGAACAGGGCAGATGGAGTTAGAAGTAGAAGAGGATATGGTTTTAAAGATATTAAAAGAGGAAATTAAAATGACATTAAAAACCAGAAAAAATGGTAAAGCAGTAGGTCCAGACCAAATTCCTATGCATAAATGATGAAACCTTAGACATTATACAATAGAAGACTTATTTAACTCAGTATACAAACGAGGACACATACCGAAACAATGGTTACTCTCCACCTTTTGTGCTATTCCTAAAAATACAAACGCTAAATATTGCAGTGAATATAGAACAATATCACTAATAAGTCACATTCTCAAATTCTTCTATTCTTGAAAATAATACATTGTCGTATAAGTAAAAAACTGGAAGAAGGAATAAATGATAATCAGTTTGGGTTCAGAAATGGACTAAGGAACCAGAGAAGCGTTATTTGCTTTTAATGTGTTAGCTCAAAGATGCATGGATATGAATGTTGATGTGCATGTTGTTACGTGATTTTGAAAAAGCATTTGACAAAGTAAGACATGAAAAATTAGTTCAAACTCTAAAGACAAAAAACATAGACCATAGGGACTTACGAATAATGACAAACCTCTAATGGAATCAAAGAGCACAAATCGTAATAGATAACGAACCCAGTCCAGAAATTGAAATCTGGAGAGGAGTTAGGCAGGGACGTATTATGTCCCCATTACTATTTAATGTATATAGTGAAGCCATTTTTGAAAAAGCATTACTATCTCAAAGTGAAAGAATAATAATTAAAGGAAGATCCATTAACAACATAAGATATGCAGATGACACCGTGATTATGGCAAGCTCTGTTAAA